ATGCCCCCCCCCCCCCCCCCCCCCCATCTGTATCTCAGATGCTAAACTTCACTTAGTTCAGTAGTTGCGATATAAACGTGAATAATCCAAGAAATCAACAGATATGTGTATATTCTCCATGTATATAAATTCATGATGGCATGATTCCAACAATAAAATACTATTATTCTTATAGGATTCCACGACGAAGAACCACACATGGTTCAAAATTCAGATGGATTAGGAGTTCGAGTCAAATATTCACCCTTTACACAGGTAGTCGGTAAAACAGCAAAATGGATTAAGGAACAAAAGGTACAAGATTTATCTGTTTACTGTTGTGTCTAATGAGAGGCAAGAAACTGCGGAATAATTGAATTGGTTTTCAATAGCACAATATATCCCCAGAAAGTTGAAAAAAAACAGCCATCCTGAAATTGTGTCGACTGAAATTATAGGTGAAAGTTCCCTAAAGCCGACATCGGACCTACTTTGGAAAGCACTATCGTGACTTCAAAATTGTTATCACCTTGAGAATTCCGGCCTCTGCGCCTAATTGTTTAGCAGGCGTCGAATTTGTCAGAATATCCCTAATTTCCTTTCATGAAATTTTTTTGTGGACATATACCTGTATTTTTTATTCATGTAAATTGTATTTGTTTTGCCGACCAATATTTATATAATAAATTTATAGATTGTTCATGTCTACTATTTTGTATTATAGAATATTCGAATAGTAAATCTACAGTCTTTAAATATTAAAGTTGACAAGAGAAGTGACGGTAAGTAATACAGGTTCGCCTATACATGAATCAAATCTAAATCTACAGAGGTGGCGATACGCCTCGAAGTTTGTCTGTGGAGTGTACATAATGCATTTTGACAAACTTAGAGGGATTGTAAAGAAGTTTTCTAAAAATGGTAGATGTATATCGGGGACACTGATAGCATCAATTTGCATCATCCCAATTTTAAATTAGACGTCTGTGATTCCAGTAATTCCATTAATTGCAGGAACCACAGACGTCTGATTGAAAATTGGAATGGTGCAAATCGTGTTCACGATACTCATAAATGTTTTTAGAAAATCTCTTTACGATCCCTTTTGTTCAACTACCAAACCAACAGCACAGAAATATCCAATTGAACCAATATAACGACCTACTAGTACGACTTCCCAATTCGCTGGAAGCGAATCTGAACTAGTTTTCTTAAGTTGTTATACCAAAAAATCAACTGAATTTTGTAATTTATATTTCAGGAAATGTAACTTTAAAATCAGATATATCAGGATACGGTGAACTACCATTTACAGAATCACAATATGTTAAAATACTACGAACATATTATGTTAATGAACATAAACCAGCAGTGCCTGATCTGTATTCATCATATAACCTAACTACCAGATTATTTGTACCTATTCGACATTCAGGAAGAGAATTCGAAGCTTTTTCTAAAACAATGCAGAGAGCTATTGCCTGGCTGCAAGTTACAAGTAAGTTCTTACTTTAATTGTTTTCTCTTTACCAGAAAATAGTAATTGGTTTCCCTTTGTGCCAAAGAGTACTGCGAAAAGGGATAAGTGAATAGACACAATTCTTCGACAATACACACTGTATGGTTTGTAAAGTTTTTACCATCTTAATTGATTTATTGATGTAAGCATTATAACTTTGATATTATATTCACCGGTAACCTTTATTCATTGTGTGAAGTTTGTTAAGTCATCGTTTGTATTTCAGAAACACCGCTATTTGGTATGGAAACTGTACAGTATATAGTCAATCCTAACAGTGGTGGAAGTGGTGTTAATGAGAACAGAGTTGATGTTAATGTGAATAAAAATACTGGTCGCTATCATTTAACATGTATCAGGTAAGCTTGACTGTGATCCTAGTAGAAAGATCATTCAAAGGTGTAAAAGGGTTATGTTTTCGTCCAAACCACCACACATAATTATGCTTTTCCACCCATTTTCGTAATCTTTAGAGAACTATATTTTATCGTATTAGCTTACAAATTGGAAGATATCACTCCCAACTATCCTGTGTCCTTGTCATCTGGAAATGCCGGAACAGATGACCCAAATTTCTGATGTTAAATGCTTTTTGTGCTTTAAGACCAATGAGGATGCAACGAACCCTTTTTATTAGTCACGATTCAGACGTATTTGTTAACATGGTGGCAAGATAAACGAAAAATGGGAATAAAGTTGTGAAGTTTTATTACCAGAACACATCCAGAACAAATGTGATCTTTTTGCAATTGTCTTGACACTGACGGTGTTGGAAGGGTTTTGGAGACAACCTTTATCATGCTACTCAATTGTTATTTGTTACTGAGAGCAGTTGCATTAGAATAACTCCTGGACAAATCTTATATATTTCAGGTTATATTTTAGTGAAAATTTTAAAGAACCTTCAGGAGATCTATTACCTAAAGTTGCTGAAGATGAGGCTGGATGGGGCTGTATTATTTCTTAAGTAATCTCACTCGCAAATGTAACGAACCTCTTTCACTATGTGCAATTCTCTTGATCTGTTATTGCCATAACCATATTCATTATAAATATGTTGTTTTGTTATTAAATTTATTCAAAAAGAAGTCGTTGTGTCAATTCCAGAGAGCCACATTTACACTGTGCTTAAAGCTTTAGGTATAACTGTGCATAGTGTTCTTCTCTGCATTGAGGGTTAACCACAGATGTGTGGAATCCTTTATTTCGGAATGGAGGGAGCGTATTCCAATCCATTAAAGGAAAAGTCTTATAATCCTATATCTATGTACATTTCACGTATTCGTTGATATAAAGGGCTTAAAATCTTGTCACTTTGACCACCGATATTAGGTTTAGAATTTAGGAACCATTGCAGGCAGTTATGTAACTTGTCATCCTTGTTCTTTACACACCAATAGTTTATATAGGGATAAACTGTTAGTCCAATAAAGTAAAGCACACATAGTACTATAACTGTTTAAATACTGTACATTTTACCGAGTTGTGTTCTTCATCCTTGGGATATCTTATCTGGACAGATCAGCAGTCTTGGACTAGTGACATTTGATGGTTATGATATAAGACAACATTGTGAATCTGCATTGATCTTCCAGTCTAAATAAGATGGAAGTAGTAATGTTGATGGTTCACTGAAGGCTACGGGGAAATACACTCTGAAATGTAAAGATCAGCCCTGATTTATTCCGCGCTGAAACATCTTTTCCTTCGTTCGGGTTATTCGAATATTGATTTTTTCAAATTTTCATATCATAGCTTCGTAACAATGCATCTACATGTAATTCAGGGGCCTTATCCTCGAAAACCTAACTTTAGATAATTTCAGTTGTATCTAATCAATCACTAAATTAAATTCAAAATTTAGTTTAATAATCCACTCAGATTACTATAGTTCTTTAAATTTGAAGTTCATCTTTGTCTAGTTTTCGATAATGTTGCCCCAGACAACAACTGTTTTTGATAGTTTGGTACATTTATATCGCGTAACATAATGATGTTGCAAAATAAAAATTCCAAAAGAACTCCAGAGTCTTTTGAAATAGTTTTCTGGTTAAGTGTGTGAGGTGTGTGATTATGAACCATGAAAGCACAATGTGTTTTTATACAAACCTGATGGCTGTTACCCAATGTTTTCCTAATCTTTGAGGTACGAGTATATCTGATTTATCAGGTAATAATCCAATATAAGCTCCACTGTGATGTAAATAATGCACTGTTTCAATATCAAACATTGCGAGGCCTGGAATATTGAAATAGAAATAAGCTGGAAAGGAATCCGTTTCGCTGCCTGAAATTTCTGTAAATGGGTACCGATAATCTGGGAAAGCCCAGTGCCATGAGATTTGGGTAAGAACCAGCTAGATCCAGTTAAACTAGATTCTAAATACATGATATAACGTACATTCTATGGTCCACCTTTACATCTGTTGGTTATTCATCTGTAAGCCAAAAGACATAAAAAACCTTTATGATTTTTAAGGTTAACTACTTACCTGTAACTTTCAGCCAAGCTTCGATTCTGCTCATCGTTTCCATCATACCTTCAAACGATCTAAAACCAGTTCTCATTGGATAGAATAATCGTGATGTTAGAACTGTATTAGTGTATGATGAAGGGTGATCTGGACATGCAGTATAAAATATTCTAATAAACCTTAGATATCGTTTATCATTGTAGGTTGTATCTATTTCATCTGTACAGTCTGTATTAATCTCTGTTTCACCTGAAATAAAATCAAATATACACTGGTGAGGCTTTAAATTCCATTTAATGTGGTCTAAAATACTTTACACATGAAATTATACAACAATAGGATTAAGGTTCCAGAAACAATCCACATCTTATGCTAATCCGTAACCCGTAATTTTTCGTTACATATGAAGAAAAAGGGTTACCTAGAAATTCGTGTATTCTTGTATTTCTTGTTTCAAGATTAATTATTCTAATTCCCTAAAATGAAAAAAAGTGTTCAAACAATTATCCAGATTTATCCAATATAAGCAAATCAACATTAAGACGAATAAGATAAACCAAAAGAAGCTGAAAGTTGATAACTTGATTGAAAGGGAAACTTTACTTGACTTTTAGAATTTTATAGCTCACCTTCTGTTCGCGAACCCATGCCATAGTTTTATTCATAACATCAGATATTGGTTGAAATTTAGATCGTTTATTGTATTCACCAGCTTCAGTCATTTCCGGTTTCATATCATTCATTGCTGAAATATAGTATATTTGGGGTTTGGGTATACAACAATCTCAATATCTCATCATTCAACTGGATGAGGTCTAAATGTTTGCTTGGTTGTCGATAACGTTTCACAGCACTGCGTCGTATGACAATCTGCATTATAATGAAATTAATTGCAACATCTGAATAGAAACCGTTTCATGGAAGGACGAGGATTAGTAAATGAGTAAATTTTACGTTAGTGTACCAGGCACCATTTTGAGCATTTGATGTGGCGGGGGTCATCTTTAATTGGATTAAACATTAGTGTGGAATAATAGTGCTTCTTTTTTAAAAAATGTGACTTACAAATTGTCTCATTAGCAGAAGGTCCAGATATATAGAAAACTCGTAATATTTGTGTATATCGTTTAGAGTTTTTAGCTCCATTATTGTACCAGCATGTAGATTGAGGATTTATTGGTTCTATTTTATAACGTTCAGCAAATTTTATGGTTGAAGTTTCAATATTTAGTATTTTACCTGAAAATTATTTATAACATTATTTAGGAATCATTACCATAAATGGCAACTTATACAAGATAAACTGTTTGACTTTGGATGTACGTTTTACAATATAATACCACCAGCAATGCTGAAAACATAATGCCGTAAAATGCCAGAAACCGATTTAAAGAATTATCGGGGCGTGTGAATGAGCAAGCATTGTACCAGATTGAGACTAAAGCAATTATCATATTGATAAATCTTTAAGTTCATTCCATAAATTAATAGCTATAGAAACTTGCCAGGTAAAGGCGATGTTTTCAGTTCCTCGTTGGTTCTCTCCAATGTCTTATTCAGCCCCTCGTACGTCGTCCATGTCGTTATTTGTGTATGAATTCCTCTACCAAGACCTGGTCCAACAATATAAGCTCCGCCGACAATTCCCGACCCTCCCCCAAAACGGGTACTAAATCTTATAGGAACTTCTTTTTCTTGCGGTATAACGTTATACACCGCCAACTGTTGGGTTGGTGTTTTCTCGTCCGATTTCTTTGTCAACCACAATCTACAGTAAAACCAATATTTTACACTAATAAGGTATTATTAGTTAACGATTGATAATAATAGGAACTCAATTCCGAATGTTAATTTTAAATCCCTAAAAGTTGCTTGAAAAAAATAACCCATTTAAATTCCCAAAAGACAGTGATTCAACATTTAGAAATACAGTACCTTAAGCCTATGACGTAAACATTGAAACCATAAGTTGATTCATGTATTAAAGTTGAATCTAGATTTACTATTGTACCCTTTTCTATCTTTCTCTCGACAGTTTCACATCTCCACACCTTCATACCACTGTTACATCTTAACCATTCATTGGCGTTCTCTATAATGGCACTGAAAACAAATTTGTCTATTGTCATGAATACAATGGCTATATTTATCTACTACCATTTTATTTCATTTTCAACACGGCCAGAGTTTTAACAGAAGGGGTCACGGCACTTGGCTTTTAACAACTCAATGATGAAAAAATTGAAACTGGAGGGTGGTGGGGCTAAGCTATAGGCCACAAGACCATGACCCCCTATCTCCTTCCCTGTAGGAAGAAACACGACTGTCGATTCGTGTGTACATATTTTTGAAAAGAAGAATGACATTCGTTTTCTGCTTCTTAACCAAATGCGTCATCTACACAGTTCAAGATGTACAAAATTCAAGATGTACAAAGGTCAAGATGTACACAGGTCCAGACATGCTGGATCTTAAATTGCATTGTCCATATGGAATCAATTGCTCTTCAAAAGAGGGTATGTGACTCTTACAGTTTCAGATGGGAAAGTGGCATGAGTATTGAAAAGACACTCGGATGTAGTATAATGCATATAAAATTCGTACCTAAATGGTTCAAACTTTGGTGGAACTTTTCTGTCTACAGCACCAACTTCAAGACATCTAGGCATGATATCAATATATGACAAGGGAGGTAACTCATTTTGATCTTGTTTTAAAGATGACTGATGTTGTCCTATCACTTCTTCATAAGAAGGTGGGGGTGATTTGTCTTGTATATGTTCGGGTAATACTCGATCAACATCTTGACTCATTCCTCCAAACATTCTGGAACACACAATCAATATCTATTGGAGTCTTAGACAGTATTTATATCATAATAGTAATGAAGACTTGGAAATATAGCCCATAATGAAAATCGAGCTCCCTTTAAAAAAGGAAACTATACTTAGATTAATTTACTGTCTCTGCTAATATGTCATTTGACTCCACGATACCAACAAAAATCCATATATTGTTGAACAACAGGAGAAAGGAAGAAGTCACATTCCCCGGCTCCACCCCACTCGATCTTCCCCTTCCATCATCACACAAACACACAACACACTGCAGTTCCTTTAGCCAAAATTGCATTGTACAAACCTATCCGTTTTAGATACATAAGTAATGAATGCCACAAATTTAGGCCGGTTTAGACTGTACAGACATAGATTGCTTACCTTCATCGGTTCACCACATACATCCAGTGATAAATATCCTAATAATTTATGGACTTACGGAAGGTCTGTGTAAATAATAGACTAATAATATGTGTTATTGATATAAACCATTGTTTCGAAAGAGTTGATCGACTAAATAAGCTTATGTATTATGGTTTATAGTTGCTATTGGTAATTATGTAAACAAACATTATTATGAAATAGGGCAATGAAGGTTTTTTTTTAAATATTATTGCATAATAAGTTATAAACAGTCTATTCTCCAGATTTTCGGTTTTCAGAAATTTAAATGTGTTTTTCTACGAATATTATGTATTAAAAAAGTGCAATGAGTGTGAATTGTTCGTTGTTTATATTTCTGTGTGGTCTGATTTTTTTTTTAAGAGTTGCATACCTTTGACCATTTCTTGTGCGATGTTTGTACATTGTTGTTGTCTGAAATAGTATATTGTTAAGCGTAGTTATCTTTCTTTAATCAGATATTGCAGTTTGTTCAAATGAAATGAAATGAATGGAGTTTTACGTCCTACTGTTTGCAGTTTGATCAATATTGCAGTCTATTGTACATCTGAGAGTAACAGGCCCATGGGATATGGTCTGAAGTAATGAAATTGGTAGATTGTCCACCATTGCATTTATTAACCCGGAGTTCATATAAAGAAGGCCTAATTTTAGTTGTAGCTATTCTTGGCGATTATTTCTCAGAGCTCTGTCGGTAATTTGTCTTGCTTGCATACCCTCTGTGCTTGATTTTTGGCAAAACAACTTATCATAACATAGAGTTTGCACAAATTTGACACGAAAATTGACTAAAATGTCGATATAAAAAGTGACATTTACGAATCCCCAAAAATGTCAATATTAGAAAATGATGATGATTTAATTACCGGAAAATGATTTTTTTTACCTAATTAATCTTGATTCTGTACGTTTAGTATCAACAATACGTTGTTTAAAAGAAAACAATAGAACACCGTTCGTCACATTGTCATTGATATTGACACGTCACACTTCACTGATTACTCGCATACTCCATCACGTTTTTAACTTGACATATCCAACGCTCTTTTTAAGTTATCAATTTCTTTAAAAAAAAATATGTTTCCTTCACTATTCTCCGATTAAAACCCGATAAAACTTCTCATGACTATGGCCAAAGAGTTTCTTTATAACTTGATTTTTTTGCAAAGGGGGGGGGGGGGGGGGGAGGGGGGTAAAGTAAATTTACAGAAAATGATTATTGATTTTGAATTGAAAAAAAAAAAAATAGGGAACGGGTAAAAAAAACTCTCCAAATATCAACAAACCTTGAATTTTCCCGACATGAGATGTAATTTGATATTGATAATTTATAAATAACTACAGAGGAAATGCATACACGAATAGGGGTTTTGATGCTAGATAAAATAAAATTAACTTACAATGATGCGTAAAGCGGAAATTTCCAAAACAATTTATGATGTATAAAAGAGCGTACCGAAGAATAGAATGGTGAAATAGAATCCTTTGATGTTAACCCACATGACAATAATGATAATTATAATTGAATTGTCTATGTTAAAATTAATTCATTAATATTTTATCGTTCAACACAAATCACAAACTGTCGCCAATACCATATCAAAGTCTACTTAAATTAATGTCTTTAATATGCATATTTTTTACTATTAATAGCTTCAAATGTATTTCTGGTTATTTAACTTCAAAAGAACGAATTATATATCTAAGTATCGAGTAAAAAGATAACGAAATTTATAATCTAGAATATAAAAATAGTTTTGTGTGGTCAATATAATGGTCATCTCCATACCGTTTTTAACAATTTGATCCCTATTTAAATTATAATTCTTTTTATGTTTGGCCACAGTTCATATTTCACGCTTGTTTCAATTTCACAGGTCTGTGGTATCTGGTTTTGTTAAAATTCCATTCTTTTTTTACAGGAGCAGAGAGTGTATTATATTGTTCAAAAGAATTTTCAACTTCATAATATAGCCATGATAAACTGAAATAACACTATACCTGAAGTCTATCTCTTTGTATTATTATGAATTATTGGCAAAAAATGTTACCACGATTTTGTAGCAAATCTATGGCACACAAAGTACAGATTGTACATTATAGCCTTTACTCAATAGTTTTTTGGGCAACACCACGAACAAATATGAAAAGTGAATGTTAAGAGAATTGTCTGATTTCAACCCAATGTGACTTCATAATACTATTTTTTATTAAGAAACAGCCGCGGCTAGTTTGGTTTAGTTTTGATGATCTCATTAAAACTTCACTTCTAGATTTAAAGGGATAATTGCGTTATTTTGAGGGGTATATTTGGGTGTTGAATATATGTAAATAGACTTCAGAAATACTAGAAATGTAAGAAAATAGCATAATCCCTTTAAAAATACTTCAAACTAGGAATATTACTCACTTTTTCTATGGTAAGAACCAATTTTCATTAACGGCATTAATGAAAAAAAAATGAAGAAAACAAAACATCGTCATGCATACTTAACACCTTGAAACACTGATAATAATCATTTAAATATTTCGAGTCTGTATACGTTAAAAGTCCTTGCACCAAAACTGGTTTAAATTGTGTTTCGATTAACCACTTTGGATAAAATAGATACGTAACGTAAAGAGCATATCCTAGAAATCATTTATGTAGTTTTTTAAAAATGATAATTTTGCATAATGCCCCTTTAACCAGATGGAAAAAAAGCCAACTTCACAGCAAATTAGATTTCAGATATCTATAAACAAGACTTCTAATAAAGTATTTTATTATATCCGTAACAAATTAAATTTAGACACATATTTTGACAGTTTGAGCATAGAACTATAATATATTTACAGTTCTATGACCTCATCCAATTGATTTGCTGACTTTTAAATGTCATTTGTTCATACGTAAAAATGCATAAAAATTGCGCAATCATATTAGAATTTATTTATTGGTACTTCCTTAAGATTTTGTGTATTAAGTAAATTCTTTTGACTCACAAAAGTAAAATAGAAAATGTAAATTCAATTTCAAACAAGAGTGACATTAACAATAACATTTTTATCCTTCAAAAACATCTCTGAAGACATTTTTAAAATCTCAAGATCATCGTAAGAAAGATTTAATAAAAGAAAATACTCAACATCCGATTTCTGTTTTTGTCTTGAAAAATCCATTTGAATTTCTCTGACTTGTATAATAACATTGCTTATGTGACAATTTGAGTGTCTTTATTTTGTCAACTGACTTTAAATCGTTGTTATATGATTAAGCCAACACGTTTTCCTTTCAAATATTTAATTACGTTGACAAGATTCGCTCTGCAATCGTCTCTATTTCAGATTCACGAACACCGACAGAACCAATTCACGGTAAATTCGTGTTAGTCAATTATGGTTCCAAGTTAGGCAATTTGAGGGGAGCAGATTTGCTTATCTTCATTCTAATCACAGATGTCTTGTGATCTCGTGGGAATTGAAAGGTTTCAAAGTGAATTACCCGAGCGAGAAGTTGGGAGTAAATCGTATTAAAAATCAGAGGTTAGGCCAGCTACATTTTACCAGTCAGTTTACTCAATAATTTAGTGAAGAAATTATGTTGATAGAGTTTGGCGAGTGGAACTTTCATCTCTGGTTTCTAATTGATTGAATACAGAGCTTGTGTTCACAATATTCTTTTATTTCCGTTTCCCAGTATTTGCTATACAATGCACTATAGTCAACTCCAAGACAAGAATTCCTGGTTATTATAGTTAAAGTGATAAGGTCTTCTAAATAATATGCTTTATGGTTTATACCTCAGCTGGTAGTCTAGAAGGGAGTGATGACACAAGCCATCCATGATCTGAAGAAATTGTAACTTAGCAAGATTTCTAGATCACTAAAGTATTCTTGTTAATGGAATTTACATTTATAATGTAAGTTGTAATTTTGATATAAAATAATGCATTTTCTAAAAAAAATTAACATTGAAATTTCTGGACTGTGTTCAGAGGTCATAAATGATAAAGTCATTCTCGCTAAATGCACAATGCATGGTATTGTCCGTCTTCCTTAGCCCTTAAGATAGAAAAGTATGTGCAAAAAAAGTAGAACTCCATCCATTCATTTATTTCATTTAATTTTTCTTGACTATCTCTATCTGCAAAAAAGAAATTTCACGGAGAAAAAGAAAACGAACTAATCGTCATTTAGGAACAGATTGCATATTATCAATAACTATAAAGATTATTTAATGATTATATGATTTGTAAATGATGCTGTAGGATATTAATTTTAACTTACACGATCAATATTATGATTTGTACTTGAAAATAATTTCTTCAATCCTGAATTGATTTTTGGAGAAAAAAATCTGTTGTGGATAAAAAAAAATAATTGTTCGTTAGAAAACAACAATGGTGTCGGAATACACCAAACAATATCATGTGCACTGGCTGAAATATGGAGAGTAGACAAACCAACAGTGTTATATCCGGTGTACGTTGACAAAATGATGATGCCCTGGACAGCGATATCTATCACAATAATTATCGTAGTAAGCTATATCTTCACGTAAATCAAGACGACACAAGTTGTTTATACTTAGGTCAGAAACCCTTTTGTTCTTTAAAGGGACAGATCCGCCCATTTTCGGGTGTTGATTTTGGTTTTGACTAGGAGTCTTCAGAAATACTAGAAATGTACGAAAATGTATAATTCCTTCAAAAATATCTCCAAACTAGGAATTTCACTTTCTATTTCTATGTCTTGGCAGTGTCTAAAGAAATGACGAGTCGTCATTTTAAAACTCAAACGCGGATAATTCTTGACACATATGGATTTGAAGGCTAAAAAATTCTATGATGAGCTGTAACACTAATACTGAGTAGCTTAGCTAAGAAATGAAGAACTTAAATTGGTAAAACGGATGACGAATCTGTCCCTTTAAAATAGTCATAGTATGTAAAAGTTTCAGTAATGGGGAAGTCAGTGCTATTTGTCTTTATATGCATAAAATTATCGTACTTTCTAAATTCAAAAGAGATTTTTTGGCCTTTGTGCTTTTGCGCAATCCATATTTTCGGTCCAATGGTTCACAATCTAAATACCACTTAATGGAATGAGGTCCCCTTCAGATAGTTTTGAAATAATTTGATATCATTCGGTTATGAAATCTTGCATCGTTTATATATTTCTGGCTAATGAAAAATATTGTTGCTTGCTTAGGTATACGTGTATATACCCATACATGTATCAATAAAAATCTACTGATTTGAAAACATTTAATTATCGCTCATTTTATTTGTATTTCAGGTTAACAGGTCAAGATGTATGTGTGAGAAACACGGAAGTAGATAATACTGTAACATAGATACATAATAATAATAATAATAATTTATTTATTTAAGTGTCACCGTCCATATATACAGAGAATAACAACAATAAAATAATTACAGCATTATAAAATGGACGCCAGCCGGCTTCGACACCTTAGAATTATATCATAAAACTACATTCAATGAGACAGGTAAAACACAAATATACAAGTAAAATAAACATTATGATAAATAAAAAGGCTCAGGATATCACAGTCTGTTTTCTACGTTCAAACATTTTAAAAATACATGCGGCAAAATATGGTAAAATTCGTTCGTTTGTCATTAAAAAACACAATTTATTTACATTATTATAAAATAAAAAATCTGGATTAATAAAACAGGCTTCGGTACAAAAAACTTACAGTTACAGTTAAAAATAAAATGCTCCTCATTTTCAATTTCCCCATTATCACATAAAAAACACTTCCTTAAGCAGAGAGGTTCGGGGGGGTCTAACAAATCTTCCAGTTTCAATTCTCAAAGGGAGTGAACCCGCTCTAAGTTTGGACAACACGCGTCTGTGAGCTCTATTTTTAATAATTTTGACATACGGTTCTGTTCCGAATTCAGTTTTGTACATGCGGTATGGCCGGAGTTTGTTTCCATTAACATGTGTGCGGTCATTCCATACATCCCTTGACCACTGACCCACTTCCCTTTCCCATAGACTATCCCACACATCATCAATACATACAGTGTCACTTTGATCATTTAATACATGTAGTTCTTACGTCTACTGGCCCATTTATGTACAGTTTTACAAAAAATATTATCGTTGAGTTTAAGTCTATTCCAATATCTAAACAGTTCAATCTTAACTAAATTATCACCCTTTAGCCATCCCATGTCCCCCATTGCTGCCAAATTACTACTTCTTTTGCTCAAACCAAGGAAGAATTTGCATGCGTTACTATGCAGCGCATTAATACAGTTATGTGTATTAATACCCCAAATACCAGATGCATAAGTAAATACAGGCCTGACAAGCGAGTCATATAATTTTGTGTAAACATCGTAGCTAAATCCACCAAACTGTATCGATTTAGTTTTAATCACAGCCAAAGCCCTATTAGCCGATTTTGATAACTCTTTAGCGCTGTATGAATAGTCACAGAATTCGTTCACCCACAGGCCTAGGTATTTATATGCATCTGCGTATTTAACATTTAATTCACCACTATGGAACTTAAAGTTACTTCTAACTATACCAGGGTTTCTAAAATGTACAATTTTTGTTTTAGACTCATTCACGACTAACCTCCATTTATTACACCAATTATTTAGGGTATTCATTAGAATTTGTAGTTTTTGTTCATCTGGGGCCAGAAGAACAATATCGTCTGCATATAGCAATACCGAAATTAATGTGCCATCAATATCAATTCCACAGTTAGCTTCATTTAAATCTTTAACTAGATCGTTAACATATATTGAAAATAATGTTGGTGACAATACACAACCCTGTTTAACCCCTTGAGTAACTGGGAACCACTCAGTTAATGTACTATTTACCTTAACAGAGCATGAAACGTTATTGTACAAAGACGAAATACTATGCAAAAATCTACCACTCACACCTATAGAGTTCAGTTTAAACATCAAACAGTCCCTGTTTAAAGTGTCAAAGGCTTTTTTTACGTCCACAAAACAGGCAAAAGTTTGCTGTTTGGATGACTTCCTGTTTCTAATAATATTGTTCAATATATAAAGATGGTCAATACAGTTTTTGCCTTTACGAAATCCATTTTGTTCTTGTGCTAAAGTTCCCTTATCTTCCAGCCATTCTGACAGTCTTGAGTTAAGTATAGTTGCATACACTTTACACGGGACTGATAAAAGGGTAATTCCTCTATACGACAGGGGGTCCCATTTGTTACCACCATCAGTCTAAGGGATAGGTGTGATAATACCTTTTAACCACATTTTAGGAACTTCTCCGGTTTGGAAACATAAGTTTATGATCTTATATAGCAGTTTTACACAAGTATCGTTACGTATACACCTACTAATGATAGAGTCAATTCCAGCTGCTTTCCCTAACTTAGTCTTGTACACTGACTTGCGCACTTCCTCTTCAGTAATATCGCGGTTTAGTGAATCACAGTTTACACTCGGGAATGTGTGACTTCCGGTTTTGATAAAATCTAAATGCATGTCATCGAATTCAATACTTAAGGGCTTGTTCAATAAATTATGAAAGTCATGTTTCCAACGCTGTAAGACATCTCCCGGGTCACTCGAGACTGTCCGTTTCTACTTTCATTGGTATTGAACTTTTCCGGTCATTAGCGATTCCAATTTTTCCAAATTGTTTCCAAAAATCTTGTTTATTGGCTGATTCGTAAATGTTCAGTAATCGATCCTGTTCATGTGATTGATGCAGTCTCTTAAACCTACGGTTTGTTTTATCAAAAATGTCTCTTACCTCACAGAATTCCTTGCGCAGTTTTCTTTTAGAACAGTGTTCGTTACACTTGATCCAAGCCTTTTCCTTGTTACAGACTGATTTCCATAGTTTTGAAAGTTCGTCATTCCAGTGAGATTTGTGTAAGCTTTTCCCCTTTCTTGATGAACACGATGATGTCTTTAGTTGTGGCACTCGTTGCTTCAGTTCAATTTCGATAATATCTACAAAACTGGAATAAGCTTCACATATATTTCGATTGTCAGAAAGCTCATTTTCTAGTCCAATAATTTTTTCTTCTACACCGCTAATATTTGTAAGAAAGTCTCTAGGTATTTTACGAGTGTCATATGGTATAGTTTTATTCAGCACTGGAAAATGATCTGCATTCGAGGTGGCGTTTTGTACATGAATTGTCCAGATTATAGGTTTATTAAATCAGACATAAGATAAACACTGCACGATTTACAGTTTGATAATTGTTCATGAGTTGTAATGGCATAATCAACCACAGATTTTCCTCGTTTAGACACACACGTAAAATTATTGGAACCATGCTCACCATATACTCTCCCATTTAGCATACATAAATTACAGCTTGTCAAAAAGTCAATAAGTTTATCTCCATAAAGGTTACTTGTAGTATCAATTATGTCTCTGCCTGGTATATCATCCACCCCAGCAATAAAATCCTGTTCGTCACCACATCGTGCATTAAAATCACCCGCCATATATAGTATTCCTTGATTTTGAAAACAGTAAACTTGTTGCAATAGATCATTAAAAAAAGTGTCTACGCCCCCTGCTCGAGTAGAGTCGGAAGGCGGAACGTAACAGGCACATATACACAGGTCACTATTACGAAGAGTCTTATGCGATAGTTTTAACCACAAAATGTCTTCTTTAGAATCATCCAATACAGTAGCATCATATAGTCCAAGTATCTCAGAATTCACCAATATTCCAACCCCTCCTGAACCTCTCTTCGCGTTTCTATGTACATCTGTCCTGTTTCGACCAAAACAATCAAAACCGGGAATATTTAATTTATCGTTTCCTTTTAAAAATGTTTCACATGCACATAATATATCCACTTTAAGAAACTTAAGCACTGTCTCACGAATTAAAAAATTATCAGAAGAGTTAAAACGTGACCACCCATTCACATTCCAAGTGCCAAGCCTGATGTTGTCCTACCTTCTAGTATACGTACTAGTGACATGTCGAGTAATTCGTCCCCCAACAACCCTGTACTCCCTATCACCACCAACTATTTTCAGAATGTTCATCAAATTATAGTTACTATTTCTTACATCTTGAGGTAAATCATGTTCTATGTACACTCTATAGAAATCCTGAGTTTTCTTCAGCCCTGGTTTAGCTTTCATTATTCTTTGTTTTTGATCAATGTTCTCAACAGTAGCTACGATAGGGTTAATCCTATTGTTGTTCTCACGTGTCTGTATTCTTGACGCGTGAGTAATTTTGATATTTTTCAGTCCCAATACTTCAGATACAAGGCGGTCAACGGTGTTCACTACTAAGTTCGAATCGTTCACCTCAGCCTGGCAGAGCAGGAGATTTTTAATCACTATATTCTTTGTTCGACTGCTCTCTACGTTCTGGTCGACTGGTTCCCTGGTCATTTTCAAATTCTCAATTTTATGTTCTATTGTTTTAATGTTTTCAGAAATTTCTGCCTTCATAATTGTCACTTCTTCTGTCACACGATTCTTGACACTTTCCTCGATTTTAGCATTAATAGATTGTGAAATTCTACCTATTTTCTTTTCCAGATTATCTTCTAAATCATCTATCCTCATGTTTAATTTCTTAAAGGAATCCTGCATACTATTAGCAAACTTCATAAATTGTGCGTTGAATCCTTCAGATGATTCTCCGTCCCTTTCAAAACAGCTCTTACTTTTCTTTCGCTCCCTGAATGCTCCAGACGTGTCCTCAACATCACTATCATCGGAGGAAAATCTTTTCCTATCCGTATTCTGATCACTTTCGGCGGTGTGTGAATTAGTCATTACTTCTCTGACATATTCATCGGCGATTTCGGTACACAGTGGTTCGTTATCCATTATGCTGTACACAATATCAAAATTCAGACACTTTAAAAGTTAAAAGAAGCTCAACTTAAACTAAAAGATTTATATCACGGTACAGCAACATGTCATATCAATTATATATTATACTGATTCGTTTCGGTCAATGGGTGTATATTGAAAAGTTGTCGGATCTGGTGTATAAAGGCCTTAATTGTAGCATTTAGTTTAATATAGAGACTAAGCGTAAACTTATAATTAAATTATATATCTCAGACCGTATTAAAACTATTAGACCCTCGAAAATTGATTCGAGATCTTTTTTATGAAGTCAAAAATGGTCTCATAATTGACAATCATTGAGCTATTTGATTATCACATTTAAGACGTTTTCTTGATTAAATGTGGATGATTAAAGTTCATCTTTTTACCTACTGTCTAACTTTTAATTCAATTTGTCTACGGACTCAACAAAAAAACATCAAGTCAAAGCGAATTAGGTTTCATTTGAAACAAACCACTCTGAAAAAACAAACTATTAAGACTGTTTCGACATAAATGAATTACTTAAATTCGATCTTAACAAGTAGAAAGAGAGAAAATGAGTTCAAATTATGTCCCCTAACGCCAGACAACCAACTTAGAAAAAACGTTCTGTGCTTTCTCATTTCTGATTTGAGCCTCGCTATGGAATCCACAACTAATCGTGTTACTCTCAAATCAAAAGTGAATTTTCAATCAAGCTCATCTTTTGAAGAAGACCATGAAAGACGTCGAAACATGTTATACAATTAATGTCTTTCACAACGAATTTCGTCTGATTTCAAGGGTAATGTGATATCCAAACTCGTCTTAGGGAGTTTAACATTCCGCACTATGTCGGTCTAGCGGAGTGATTGGTCTTGTAATTGGGTTTGGTTTTCAAACCTCGAGAGATACGGATACTCTCACGTGCGTCTCAATATTCAAAAATGATTGAAATATTTATGAAATGATTGTTCTGGTCATTTCGTCTTCGATTTCTCCCTTCCCTTTCACTTTGTTTGTCTTATAATTACAAACGTGCATTTATCTTAATTAGATGAACGTGGTTAGCCTCGAGCGTTGCGTTATGTGAATATGTAGCGTAGTAATCCCAGGATACCGCTCATTGCCAGAATTTCATTCTCTATATGCTTCAATAATATAATAACTATATAATTATAGTTGACAGCTATCTCTATTTGTAAACATTTTCTTATAGAAAATAATATTTTGATATACATTATTTAATTCTATCTGAATTGTTTTGACTAGAGAACTTTTTCCATTTGAAACCAAAAACCCGTAAATTACAGACACCATATTATTCGTATTCCGTCGATCAATGCGTTCTCATTTCTTTGGTGTATCTTGTATATTTTTTAGAATCTCTCAATGGAATGAATCTCTCAGTATTACAATAATTGATTTTTCAATATTGTAACAGATAATCTCTCAATATTAAAATAGACAATCTTTGTGTAATCTAATACAGAACATAGAATAGAGAAATCCAAGTATATTGCAATGGAGATGATCCAAGTTTTTCAATAGAGATCCAACGAGCACTCTATACATGGAGAATCTCTTGGTATTGCAATATGAAAATATATATATTTGTTTTCGATAGAAGATTTCTCAGTATTTTAATCATGGTTTAAATACTGAGCTTTAATATAGAGAATCTCTGAATATTACTATAGCGGTTCTCCAAGTATTACAATAGAAAATCCCTGAATATTACAGTGTGATTGTCTATGTATTACAATAAAAATCTTTAAATATTACAATAAAAATCTTTAAATATTACAATAGAGATTCTCTGAATATTACAACAAAGATTCTCCGAATATTACAACAAAGATTCTCCGAATATTACAATAGAGATCATCTAAATATTACAATAGAGATCATCTAAATATTACAATAGAGATTATCTAAATATTACAATAGAGATTATCTAAATATTACAATAGAGATTATCTAAATATTACAATAGAGATCATATAAATATTACAATAGAGATTATCTAAATATTACAATAGAGATTCTCCGAATATTACAACAAAGATTCTCCGAATATTACAATAGAGATCATCTAAATATTACAATAGAGATCATCTAAATATTACAATAGAGATTATCTAAATATTACAATAGAGATTATCTAAATATTACAATAGAGATTATCTAAATATTACAATAGAGATCATCTAAATATTACAATAGAGATCATATAAATATTACAATAGAGATTATCTAAATATTACAACAAAGATTCTCTGAATATTACAATAGTGAATTTCTTAATATTACAATAGTGAATCTTTGATATTACAGTTGAAAATCCCCGAATATTACAGTTGTGTCTATGTATTACGAAAGATAATCCCTGAATAATACAATAAAGATTCTCTGGGTATTACAATAGAGAATCCCCGAGTTACAAAAGTGAATCTTTAAGTATTTCAACAGAGACTCTCTGGAAATTTCCATAGAGAATCCCTTTTTATTACAATTGAAAATCCCGTTGTATTACAATAGAGAATCCCCGAGCATTACAAAAGTGAATCTTTGAGTATTTCAATAATAAATCTCTGAGTATTGCAAAAGAGACTCTCTAGGTATTATAATAGAGAGTCCCTTTCTATTACAATAGTGAATCTCTGAGTATAACTATAGATTAGAGTATTGCAGAGATTCTCTGGTTATTACAACAGATAAGCTTTAAGTATTACAATGAAAACATCTGAGTATAACAATAGAAAAGAAAAAGTTTTACGTGAGTAGGGCAACGTCAGGCAGTGTATAATGAGGAAAAGCTGTCGACAGATCTTTAAAATGCACAGGACTTCGGTTTATTGTCCAATCTGAACGACTAGACGCGTATTCCATGTCAGCTCCTCTCGGATGCACCACTAACAAGAGTACTGAAATAGGGATTACAATAGAAAATCTCACAGTATTTCAATATAGATTATCTAGGTATTCCAATAGAGAATCTCTCAGTATTACAAATATAATTTCTGAGTATTGACATTGAAAGTCTCAGAGAATTGAAATATATAACCACTGTGTACTGCTATATGTAACCTTAGAGTATTTCAACCGAGGCTATCTTGTACAAAAACATGCGGTATCCAAAAGCATAACATGTACTATTTTATATGAATTTATGAAAAATGTGAAGGTGTCCGGTTTTAATTAAAGATCCAAACAATCTATTTCATATGAATCAAGCGTATTTGTAATAAAACAGATTCCATGGCAGGCTAAGAAATTAAGAGACCATGATTCTATTTAATTCCACTGCACCATGTTCATAAATGATTTTCATTATTTGTCAGTTGTTTGACAACGACGCAGGACACTAACTTATTTTACATTTAACAAGATTTCAACTGATTGCTGACTCGCTAATCTCGTTTAATTCTCGCGAGATCATAAGACATCTGTGATTAGAATGAAGATGACCAAATCTGCTGGCTTTAACTTGCCTAAGTTAGAATTGAATTTGAGGGAAACGGCTAGGAAATCAGAATGAGGGAGTAATCGTTGCAGTGCAAGATAAACAAATTACAAGTGGTTCGATCAGTAGAATAACAATGAGTTGGAAGAACTATTAGTTTATATTGAAATGAGATCCACTAGAGACCATCTTTAGACGTTTGACGTGAATCATTTTCAGATTTTCCAATTACTGTACGTCTTTTAGAATCTGATGCTATGGAGAGAAAATTTCTCTTTTGGTATTTTATTGTTTTGAAGCGTTTAAATGTATATCAAAAGCAGAAGGGTTCCCAACGTTTCTTAATCTGTATGTGAGATGAATATTTCCCTGAAAGGATATGTTCTAGAAATATTCAAATGGAATTATGGTGGTTGTATAATTTCTCAATTTATTGGATGAACCGAATTGAAAACGAACAGAATTATATATATAACAATTTTTAATGTAATAATAATAATGATATATACAGATGTAATAATAATAATTATTTTAATAATGTTAACAAACAAAACACTGAGTCTTTCCATTCATAATTTCATTACCAATGTATCGAAGTCAACGCCAAAATGCCAGATTGAGCATTCAATGAAATGGTATCGTCCTTCTATTTTTAACCAACATTAAAACCATAACAAAATAAATAGAAATAGAGACCCATTTTTGTTATTGCACAAAACAAGAAACCTATGAATTGAAAATTGAAATCTCAGTTTGTTACAAGATATTGATGGCAATATGTATTAGACGGTAGTCAAACTGTAAGTTTATAAATAAAAATAACCATTTATCACAATTTTAGGAGTTGCCTTTAATTACAAAATTACCCTAATTTTTGTCTGTTTACACTACACATCAATAATAGGTTCGACCGAATCGTCCATATCTATGGATTCATTTTCTTCTATGCTTGGCTCCAAAAAATTAATTTGGGCTATTTGCTGCGGGGCTGTAATTTGTTGAGATGAGGATGAATCCGGAAGTTGTTTGTCGTCTGTGTGCTGTGTTTCAACATGGCGTCTTAAATCTACTTTACGTTGAAACGATCTGTTACACAGTGAACATGAAAAGGGTTTGAATCCTGTATGTTTTCGACTATGGGTGATGAGATTCGAAGACTGACTGAAAGCTTTTCCACAGTGGGTACATTTATAGGGTTTCTCACCTGAAATTGGAAAAAAAGACAAACATTAAGTAAAGATTGAAAATCAAATGAAGTTGATATCATATAAATCTCTTGAATAAGATAGTGTTCAGTGCTCAATACCTTTCTCAAATTCGCTCATATACTTTTATCAATTTACAATTCCATTTTTCTCAAATGAAGACAGATTTGTATTTATAAAGAAAATTTGAAAGACGTATTCTTAATATGCTTATTATGGCAAATAGAACTACAAGTAAAATGTTCATATTTTCAAAATAATTTCTTAAAAATGTCGAGCATGCTTCATTATCCTTGCGTATATTCTCAGAAAACTTTAATAATAATATGATTTATTTTCTAGTTAGTTATCTTCAATGCCAGCTGTGTGATATTTCTTAATTCCCACCGATTAATTTAATACATTTTTCAAGACAACAGATTTTTCGTGAAAAAGAGGTAATCCAAACTGTGACTTTATCGATCCATTGATTCAGTCGAGCAGAAAATATGAAAACAGTTAACATCAAAATTATTAATAAAACGGTAATAAAAAGAAATATTTAACTAATATGTTTATCATTTACGTTCATAAAATTTCAAGTGCAGTTTATTGTTGATCAGAAATGAAATTGAAGGAAGTCAAGTGACATATTGGACCTCCGCAGCAAATGATTGACAGAAAGCCATTCGGACCATTCGTTGATTCTCGCGGTTTCTTTGGTTGGCCACAAGACGTTTGACTATATGAATAAGAATATTAGTTAATGAACACTTGTGGTTGTGAGTTAAAAACATGTAACATGTCTTTAAGATATTGTCTGATTATGTAAATAATGGGTGATATGAAGCATTAAATCTTTAAATACTTTCTGCACTGACATTTCAATAATAGAGAAAAAATCGTTTCACGTGCAAGTGATCCAATATTGTTTTTTGAACAGGTGCACAGCTGGCTCTTTGGTGAAAATGTAAAGTGACAAAAATCAATGGCCGACGTTCTCTATCATTTTTATTTTCCTTAGTATTGATGAAATCGAGACGGAAAATAACCAGCCACGGGGTTATTTATGACCTAAATGATTATATTTGATAAAGTTCTGGAATATACATCGTGTAACTTTTTATACCAGACTTAAGTGATAAAGTAAGTCCGGGTATTTCTATAACAGTTAGAACTGATTTTCAATATTTATTAAATTGGAAACAATTTGTAATTCACAATATAAAATCTTTTCGAGCACTCTTTAAATTATTTCCAGAGAATCTTTCGTGTTGCAAAAAGTAAGCTTTGTGAAAATCCCAAATCACTGTTGTGTCTTTAAAGAGATAAATAGCCCGTATCTCACAAATAGCAGTGGATCATTTTCACTTAAATCTTGAAATCTGATGACAAGAACACGCAAGATTTTCACTCCTGATCGCTTTTCAATCTCGTCTTTTGATTGATTCTTACACCTCGGCTTCGTACAAATTGTCAAGAAATCTTGTAAGAAGTGAAACAAAAGAATACTTTATCAATAAAACGAGATTGAATATAACACGTCTTTAAACCTAGTCAAGTTATCTATACAATAAACGATTTTTCTTTTACTACAACAAATCCCCGAAGACACAACTAGGCCCTAGTAGTGCGAGATGAGTGGAAAATACGTTAAACGAACGTTATTGCAGCTAACTTTTACTCTTAACGTTGAGGTAAATTAAAGGACATTAAAGTCGACGTCCCCCGAGTAATGACAGCAATGATTTAAGATCTAACCCCGCAGTGAATTGTGTATGTTTGCTCTACGATATGATCAAATCACCAATTAGATTAATTCAAGAATCAGTTAGGTCGACAATTAGAGCCATTTCTAACAACAACGTCGATTATTTTAGTCGTCCGTTGAGGCCCACCAGGCCCGCACTTAATCTGCCGAGATAATTGAATTAATTAAGCGAGTGAGGATGAGGGAGAACTTCATTTGCACGATGTATCTGATTTAGACGTTTGACTTTCGATTTTTAACGCCTCCTTCTTGTACTAAAACTGAACAATAATTGACTTGAGGCTAATTGGGGAGTAACACCTCCATTTTGATTCTTTAACATTGAGGTGAAACTGTCTTCTGAAGGCAAAGGAAAATTGTTTTTGTAATTTTGTACATTGCCTTACTATTAGCTTTAGCTACAGTTGAAGGCAAGGGAAATTGTTTTTTGTAACTTTCTACAATGCCTTGCTCGTAGCTATTGCTTCAGTTAAATCTAAAATATAAGCTTGTTTTTTATTTGACGACAAATGACATCAAGTAACACATTGAAGGTAATATCATACCTGACATCATACTATAACCTTATAGGGATTTCTATATTTAATTTTTAACTATTTTCATTTCGAAGTGACAACTATCAGTTAGAAGCCAATCAGATGATAAATGCTTGCAACGCATCAGACGTCATATCGGGTATGAAAAACAGGCAAAAAATTTCTTTGAGTTTATGACAATATAAAAATCATATCATCAAACTGTGCCAATCAACAAAACTAAAGAGAGAAGCTAGGCTGGGATAGATAATAGATTGAAAAGATACCATCATAGAATAAAACTCATACCGAGCTGTGTTTGTGTTTTATTGAATTTATGTATGAAATGAATAGAATAATGAAACATGGCTATAGGAATATTGTATATATTATAATATTTATATGCCTCACTTACAAACTGTATCAAATCTATGATATAAACATTCAATGTGCCTCAATGATTATTTTAAATTGTCAATTTCCACCTGAAGTGTTTTGTTTTAGAAATTGAGAATTGAAATTAATATGTTTTGAATTTTTTGATTGTGAAGTTTGATTAAATTATTGTTAATCAAATTACTCATCTTGTTGTGTTTGAATTCATGCATAATATTAAAATTTGAATTTAATAATGTTTCACATTAATATATTTCATGTTGCTTCATAAGGTTCAGTTTTTCGAACTAATGGGAGACCTTGATTTAGTAACAATGATATTTTATGGTCCATATTAGCATTAACAATTATCCCGAATTATTTACTACCATTCATTATCATCAATTATTTAGCATTATCATTTTTACTGTTATTAGTTATTGGTTATTCCTGCAGCATTGCACTTTATCACTGTTATTATTGAATATTATCAATTATTTGTAAATATCATTTCACATTATTATATCACATTATTCTTTTTTTTCAAATTTTCAAAAGTTAGTTCATAATCATTATCATAATATGTTATCATTGTGCCTTATTCAGTATGCCAGTATCACCATTACACATTATTCATTATCATATTGCACATTAACATTATGTCATATGTCACCATAACGTATTATTCATATTGCATTATATATTATCACAACACATTATTCATTATCATTGTACATTATTCATTATGCCACTAAGTTAATATGTAGTTGCAATGAAATTCGAAATGTGCATAAAGTTTTTTAATTTTTTATGAAAATCACAAACTGTTCCTATAATAATTGTACTATGCAATAATCACTGTACTGTATTAATCATAATTTTTATTACCAAATTATCTATTGGTGCGTTTAGTGTCCAATAAAACTAATGTATTAATAATTTTGAAGCCAGTCATTTAAAATAATAATTAATATTGCCGATATTATATGATTCTATTTTTTGTGTGAATGTTTGATAGTTAAATGACAATATAAGAACCATGACACGTCATATTTTTAGAATTAAGAAATTTAAATGAGTTTTATTCAACGCTGGGGAAAGTGTTCTTTTGACACAGTTATAGGAGTTTTACTTGAGTACAATTTTCCGAGGTTAGGGAAATTGATAAATCTATCAGTAAAGGCAACTGCAAAATCCATGTGTACGGGCTCATTTCATTTTGAGCAGAATATTAAAAAAAAACGTAAAAAAAATTGTTACTCACCAGTATGTATATAGGTGTGTTTCTTCATATCAGATTTTTGGTGAAATCGTTTACCACAATAAGGACAAGGGTAAGGTCTGGTGTCACTGTGAATCAGTAGATGAGTGGACAGAGTTGATGATCTCTTGAATGATTTACCACATTGGTTACAAGCAAAACTTTTCTCTTGCGTATGTACTGCCCTATGTTGACTCAAACTGACGGAATGACCAAACGTTTTGTTACAGACGTCACAGGCATAAGGTCGTCTTCCACTGTGTGAACGGCGTACGTGAACTTCAAGTCCATGAGGAGTGCTAAATTGCTTGACACATTTGACACATTCGTAAGAACCTTTCTCGAAAAATCCCGGATGGAAGTTAAATCCTAATGCTTTTTCCCGTGCCAAAAAAGGGAAGTTCTTCTCAATTCCCGAGTACAATCGTTGAGTATTCATCACGAAGGGGGAAGCAAAGGGGAAGAATTCTAAAGGATTTCTGTAAAGACCATTTAAAAACTGATAGCGATATAGGTCAGTGCAGTTCATTCTTATATCTGGTGATTGCTGAATCAAAACTGGATCTGAAAATTAAAAGAAAATTATTAACAAGTTTGGACTGATTTGTCGTCATTGCCGTATTTATAGGAATAGTTTTTAACACTTAATTATTATAATTTCAGAGTTAGAATTAATTAAGAAATGGTGTTAAATAATAAACTGAGTGTCGATAAGCAAACGTTATTTGTCCCTTTACAACATATTTCCAAACGCCAAAAAAAAAACAACAAACAAATTAAACTAAAACGGGGTCGAATACCGTTGTCATACCTGTTGTTTGGTTCGTAGTGCGTGGTAACGGAGGGCTGCTTGGTGCCTCTTTCAACCAGGGACGAAAGGCGCTGAAACCGGGATGAGATCGTCTTGTGCTGAGGTCTTCTGCTTTATTGGGCGAGGATTCTTCTGTGTCGTCATCTCTGTCTGGACTTTCTCTACCACAAGAGTTAACAGATGATACATTTATCGATTGACAAGCCGGCATCCTATCTGGTGAGGACGGGTCACTCTCTGAAGAAGTGTCTGAAATAAATAAAAGATGTTGATTAGAAAACTTGAGATCGCTCGTCAAAAAAATTACCAAATGGAAAGAACGTAATTGATTTGGCCAAATTAATGATACAAGTATTCATTCCTTAAAGAAATCTAACATGACTTTCACGTAAAGAAGCAGCTACTACACGCTCTACAAAATATTTGACCACAGAATGGACGCATGGACAATTCATTCAAAAAAACAACGTTATATTCTATAAGTATTTCCATAATTTGTGATTAATGATATTCAATTCACAATGGATTATATTTTGATAAACCAATATATTTCAGGTATATCTTATTTATATGAAATAATCATGAATCGGAAATATACATTAATTTCCAAAATTACAATTTTAACGGAGCTATGATTCTATTTAATAAGGTTTCATTGAATAATTTTTTTTGAGATAATTTTCATAAAATATATGAGTTTTTGTTTTAATATACCGTTCACGATACGTTACAGTTTTTCTGTTAAAAAAGATTTCAAGGGAGATAATTTCGTCAAAATATGAACAATTCTAACGTATATTAAATCTACGTTCCGAATATAACGCGCCACTGAGTAAAAAGAATAATATAAAAAACTTGAATTAGATGAATAATGATAAGGTTTATTTCAGTGAACATACTATGTATTGTCTAAACTATGACAACAAATCTATTGAATTTGAATTAAATCATATTTTCAATCAGTCAAACAGTGATCTTGCGATATAATTATATTTGGAAACATCCTGGAAAATCTAAAATTTTAATACATCAGAATCATTGAGGTGTTAAGTATTGTTGTATTCATTTCTTGTTCAGTCTGTTCTGTTAAAAAAAAATTGTGTGTATGTTTGGGAAACTATTTGGCATACATTTCATACTATTGTATACGTCCTCGGCAATATTCATTTTATAGAGACCTATATTATTTCTAAAAAAAAAGACAGGAATTATATCAATTTATAGAATTGAATCTGTATAAATGAATTTTGGATATTTTTTTATAAATCATCGAATTTTCAACATTTTTTTACCGTGCAGTTTGAAGTCTGATTTAAGACTAGAATAAGCATAGGTATAATATTTCAAAATATATCAGGTAATTCCGTCATGCCACCATTTAAAAGAAAGCACAAAAAGCAAACAAAGATGTTTTCAATTTTTAACTTCAACTATTTTGAAAACAGGACCAGAATAATACGGAATGATCTGATAAGGGATAATATCTCTGGTAAACATGAAACGTTAATAATATGAAGGTGTAAACATTAATAGATCTCATACTTGATCTATTGACATAACAGCTAAACGCTACATTAACTCTTTAACAGTCAATATTACACTTTCTGAACAATGGAAATGCCTTGTTTTAGATTCTCCACTACAATCAAATTACAAATAGAGGTGTGCAATTAAGCACATTATACTATATTAAACTTCGCCGCCTCTTGATTTTGAAAGGGTTAATAGATTAAGTCATGTCAATTTAAGTTGTTACAATTTAATTGACATAATTTTCGTGTGTTGTATCATGATAATTTTGTGCTCGATCGAGTTGATAATCATGTTGAATATATATCCTCATATTATGAACTTTACCGTTCAATAATTATCTATTTTCTCACAAAATTAATTACCAGTCATTGTAATTAACAATCTCGATGCGATGCCACCCTGCGCCTGGGCTCTTCAACTGGTCTCAATAATGTAAATAGATGATTATAATATTGGATAGCTTTATAAAAACATTATTTTCAAAATTCATTTATAATTTCAAAGATATTCAAAATTCAAATCTTCATCACTTACCACAATACACCTAATAAAACATCAATGAAATTCCAAGAATGTTGCAATTTTTTTCATTTATTTTATACGTTTACGCAAATTTACTGGTCATTCGCACACTATATATAGACTGTTATTATACAATTCAATGTGTTAATATATCAATTATAGGTTCGTATTTAATAATTTATGTACTTCATCATTGCTGGTGTGAAATTTAATAGAAGCTGAACTATTAAGTTAACAATTCACAGTTATTGAATTTTAGCAGTTAATGAAAAGTCATTCCTGTAATACCAAAAAGTCGGATCAAACCCTCAGATTACAAAATGTGTTCTTGCAAATGGAAGTATGATTTTTATATAATTTTTATTCGAGAGTACTTCATTATGTTATGTAGGCCTAACAGACGAAAGCCATTAAATTGCTGAAACGGTCCTGTTATTTTTCTGGTACGTCAATACATAAAAAAATATTTGAAGGAGGAGCACCATGTTTTGCGGAGTTTTGTATTATATAAGGCATAGGACTATGTACCTACCGATACATTATATAAAACATTATTATGAAACAACTCCACGGTTTTCACTCTTGTTGATTCTTGACCACTTATAATTTGAAGTCGTCAGTTTAAATTGCATGTATTAATAAATTTCCTAATTTCTTAAGCAGTGTTTAAGTTCACAAGAATTTTTATATCGAAGTTATCTGAATAATTTAATTCAGATTTTGTATCATCTTATTTGTCTTTCAGATGAATTTTGTACAATACTAAAATTGCAATTTTTAAAACTACATTTTCATTCCATAGAATAATTCATATATTTCTAGACCTTATAAAGAATTTTCATTAAATCTAGTTTTTAACACGAACCTATTAATTAATATTTTCTGAAATTTCATATTTCTATGTTAGTTCTAAGATATGGGCGTAATAATGATAATCCAAACTTTTATTTTGGGTAACAAACCTCTGTTTATTGCAATAGGCTATTCACGAAAAATGTGCTTCAATATTATTTAACAAACTTGATTTATACCAAAGTGGTATGGAACTTCAAAAATTTTGAATGAATATTCCTTCAATTTTCCTTCCTTAAGTTGCAGAAAGAAATTATTTTCACAATCAAAATTTAATTTCATTTGATTTTTAAGTAAAATAATATTTAAAACAGATTTGAACTGTGGTATATTGAAGATCTATATAGCGATAAGAATTATTTTATTACGTTTTTTTCAAGAGGTATATCTGAACATTGTTGTTGCTCTGTTCACGAAAAATTAAACCAAGATTTGCTGGCATCTAAAGTTTATGAAAAAGTTCCTAATTAAAAATAAAATAAATAAAAAGATTTACTTACCAAGTGATTTTCTAGGAGTCACAAGACTGAATGCACTTTTATGGTCACTGTCAGTCATATTTCTCTCCTCGGCCAATCTTTGAGATTTTACCAAAAATGATCTAGGCATAGCTAGCAACTCCGAGCTCCCTTCCGCTCTTCCAACGTGAGGCACACTTAAGATCATGAGTCCAAAGTAAAAGATAAAGCTGTGTGTATAACGTTAAATATTTAAAAGCCACTGTTTGATTCCTAATGTTTGAAGAATAACAATGTCTTGAAATTTAATAATGCCACTTTTCACCGAAAACCAGATGTTATAAACCTTCCATCATTGCTCCTGATCGCTAATCACGAGCATGCGCAACAATAGATTGTTAACCAACTGTGCACGCGCCACCAGACTAATCTGATGGAAACGTGTCTCTGATTGGTCGAACTCTATTAAAGCAAATATCAATCACCCCGCCCCATAAGAAAGAAACAAATTGATTGAGCGTTACTTTAATGCGATTTACGGAAAATATAGAAAATCCGCCTCTCTATTTTCACTTGCTCTGTAATTTGGTATTTAATGTAGGGGAGATATCGGCAACACGTTTTGGGTTATTTCTTAATTAATCGTTAATTTCATTGTTTGAAGTAAACCGAAAGATAAATAAGTAGTAGTTTATGTAGAAACTTATCCCGCCCAGATTAAAGATTATAGACTAGCATATTTTACGGTGAATTTAGTTTTGATCAGGGATCAGTACGTCACCTATCTGTCTCGAATTTGTCAAAAAACGATTAGCCTTTTAGAGAGCACCGTATACCTCTTTGGGTCATTTTATCGTCATTACATTTTCTATTCTAAAAAATTTAAGTTTCTAACCAAATACACTAAATCAAAGCCAAAACAATAAATATCTTTGATTTTAATGAATTCCGATCGGAAAACAAAGCAAAACACACTATATGGATGTACTATGTCTGCCATTTATTAACTCAACGTTCACACACAGCTTGTTATCAGTCAAATTCCTGGAGGCCTTCCTTGCTCAAAAATGAGTGGAAACATGGAACGGCAACGATAATCAAGTCTACATAGAGATTGAAAATTCTCAATTTGGCAAGGCGGTAACGTAAAGGGGGCAA